TTTTGAGGAAGCACCAAACTGTCTTCCAGAGTGGTTGCCCCATATTACAATCCCAACCGTGTATGGGAGTTCCCACCTCTCCACATCTTCTCCAACATGTATTGCTTGATGCCCTACTAAATTATGCCACTGCTTTTGGGGTGAAATGGTATCTCATTGTGGTTTTGATTTGCATCTCTCTTATTGCCAGTGATCTGGAGTATTTCTTCACACGTCTTTTGGTCATCTGAATGTCTTACACTGTGAAACGTCTTTCTATGTCTTTTGCCCATTTATTTTCTGGGTATAGCAGTATTTTTCACTCTTTATTTATTTAGCTTCTTATTGGGTGAAATTTACAGGGGAAACAATCTTTCAATGTAACAATTCATACACTTTTTGGTTCATGATATTAACTGCAATCCTCTCATGTAACAACACTCTTCCCACTTCTCTGTATTTACTATTCCCATTCATACTTCTAGTCTTTCCTCCCTTCTAAGCTTTTTCCCTGAGCAAATGTTGCTCTTTTATCTTATGTGGTTAGTGATTTTAGGGAGTACATTCCTCCCAATTCCTCCCAGTGCTATTGTTTATGTTGTTGTTAGGTCTTTTGCCCATTTTGTAATTGAGTTACCCATCTTTTTCTTGTGGAAGCCCAGGAGTATTCTGTAAACTTTTGTTATGAAACCCTTGTCCGAAATGGTATTAACAAATGTTTGTTCCCAGTTGGTAAGCTTTCTTTTCACCCTGTTGGAAAAAAAGTGTTCAATGAGCACAGAGATTTAATCATTAGAAGGTGCCATTCATCAATTTTATCCTCTCCAGATTGTGCATTTCTGGCTGTATTTAGTAGTGTCTTTATACCATAGACGAGGTCGTCTAAGCTTGATCCCAGTTTGTCTCTTATGGACTTTATGGTTTGGGGCTTTATTCTCAGGTCTCTGATACACCTTAAGTTGATTTTTGTGTGTGATTTGAGATGTGGATCCTGTTTCAGCTTTCTGCAAGTAGCAGTCCAGTTTTGCCAGCACCACTTGTTGAAGAAGTTGTCATTTCCCCCATTTGATAGGTTTTATTTCCTTGTCAAATATCAGTTGATCATAGATAGCTGGGTCAATTTCTGGGTTCCCAGTTCTGTTCCATTAGTCTATGTGCCTGTCATTGTAGCAGTACCATGCTGTTTGGGTTACTACCACTGTGTAGTAGGTTTTGAGGTCAGGAAGTGCTATGGCTCGCATTTCATTTTTGTTTTTCAGAAGGGCTTTGCTTATTCAGGGTCTCTTTCCTTTCCAAATAAATTTTACAATTTCCCTTTCGATCTCCTCGGAAAATGAGTTTGGTATCTTTATTGGGATTGCATTGAACATGTAAATTGCTTTTGGTAGGATTGTCATTTTCACAATATTGAGTCTTCCTATCCATGAACAGGGCACATTTTTCCATTTATTTATGTCTTTTTTTTTACTAGTTTATTTATAAAGCTCAAATACAAATTCGAACAAATTCTTTCCATTTCCCTCACCCCCCCTCACCCATCAAACTGTACAACTTAAATGATTAATCCCCCTTCTCCCTGCACATCCATATCCCTCTGCTTCCAGCCTCTCCCAACCCTCCTGGACCCTAATACTCATTCTACAATAATAGTTTTATATAATATTTATCATTGTGGGACTGAGTTCACTCATCATAATGCTCTCCAGTTCCTCCCATGTTAGGTAATAATTTACAAAGTTGTTGCTCCTACGTGCTGCATAGTATTCCACAGTGTGAATGAACATTCCATAATTTCTCAATCCATTTGTTTAAGGTTGGACATTTGGGCTGTTTCTATATTCTTGCAATGGTGAATAATGCTGCTATGAACATTGGTGTACAAACCAGTTTGTGCCTCAGTTCTCATACTCTCATGGTATATTCCAAGTAGCTGGGTCATATGGAATTTCTATGTTCAGCTTTTTGAGGAAGCGCCAAACTGTCTTCCAGAATGGCTGCACTATTTTACAATCCCACCAACAATGTATGAGAGATCTTTTATTGTATCTTGCAGAAATGTTCTGTAGTTTTCTTTGTACAACTGTTTTGTAACTCTAGTTAGGTTCACTCCCAAGTATCTCAATTTGTGTTTGTCTATTGTAAATAGTATTGCTTTCTTGGTTTCCTTCTCTGTGTTTTCTTTGTTACTGTAATGAAATCTCACTGATTTTTGGATGTTGATCTTATATCCTGCAACCCTACTTAATTGGTCCATTAGCTCTAACAGGTTTTTTGGTTGAGTCCTTGGGCTTCCTTTGTACACTATTATATCATCTGCATATAGCAACAGTTTAACCATCTCTTTGCTGATCTGGATGCCTTTTATTTCCTTCTCTTATTGTCCTGCCCTAGCAAGTATTTCCAATGCAATATTGAATAGAAGTGGTATTAGTGGGCATCCTTGTCTGTTCCCTGTTCACAAGGAAAATGCTTTTAGTCTTTCTCCATTGAGAATGATACTGGCTCTTGGTTTTGCATATATACTTTTTACTATGTTGAGAAAATTCCACTAAGCTACAGGAGAAAAAGTGTCAAGCTTATTGTCAATCTACCCCGTGTCAATCTTATTGTCTCTGACACGCCTATCCCCTTTACCCCAGTCACTGAATCAATCCACCTCATCGAGGGTCTTCCTCTACTGTGCTGTCCTTCCACCCTCCCAAGCATGACGTCCCTCTCCAAGGACTGGTCCCTCCTTGCAACATGTCCAAAGTATGTCAGACAAAGCTTCAGAATCCTTGCCCCCAAGGAGCAGCCTGGTTTCACCCTCTCCAAGATGAACTTGTTTGTTCTCCTAGCAGTCCATGGTACATTCAATATTCTTCTCCAGCACCATAGCTCAAAGGCATCAATTCATCTTCTATAGTCCCTAATCATTGTCCAGCTTTCTAAAGCATAACAAGTAATTGCAAAGACCATGGCCTGTATTCTACACACCTTAGTCTCCAGACTGACATCGTTGCTCTTCGATGCTTTGGCGAGGTCTCTGACAGCAGACTTTCCCAATGCAATTTGTCTACATAGTTGAAATATGTCAAACAAATGTCCAAATCCACACTCATGGTCTTCTGTTCACTAATTGGCTTCCACAGTGCTTAATCTTAAAAAATTGTATCACTTTTCATCCAATTATACTATCTGGGGGAAAAAACCCTCATAGTCAAAACTCCTACCCTCTGCTCTATTAGTCTGTCTGTTGTTTGTTCTTCTGGAATCCACACACACATCTCTCTCTCTTCAATAGCACAATTCTAGTCTATGTTACCACCATCCAGTTTATAATGCAATGATTTCCTAACAGCCTTTCTCTTCATTTATTCCACAGACATTTACATTGGTAGGTCAGTGACAGAGCTCTTGCCTTTTGTGAGAGAGATTCAGGTTCGATTCCCATTCACTGTACTTTGTGGACAGTCACCATCTGTTGTCAGCAAAGGCCTGTGTGCTGCTATGATGTTAAACAAGCTTCAGCTGACTTCCCAGAGTAAGATGGACTAGGGAGAAGGGTTTGGTGATCATTTTCTTTATTTTTATTTGTAATTCATTGTCCTTTGAGTGAAAGTTTACAAAGCAATTGGTTTTCCATTCAAGAATTCATTCAGACTTTGTTTTACAGTATTAATTACAGTCCCTGCATTGTAACAGCATCCTTCTCACTTCCTCCTTGTGATTCTTGCCTCCAGTCCTCCTTCTCTCCTACCCTTTCCTGCCTTCTGAGGTTTCTCCCTTGTATAATGGATCTGGTATAGGGAACCGTTCTGAGAGTGAGCACCTTCCTTATAAGCATGTCTACTGTTTAGCTGGACGCTGGTCTCCAGGGTGAATTTAGCTGCAGGATCAAAGGGCTACTAAGGACCATAGTCTTGGGGGTTCCAGTGGTCTCTATTAGATGAGCAGGCCTGGCCGTTTTTATGATTGTGAGTTTTGTTAGACATTGTTCTCTCCCTCTGCCTAGGATCCTCTACCGTGACCCTTTTCAGAGCAGTCTGCAGTGACAGCCAGGCAATTTCTAGTTCTTTCAGTCTCGGGGCAGTGAAGACTGGACCTTATGTGGTTCACATGTAATCTACTTTAAAAGTAAGCGAGTGAGAACCCTGTGGTAAGCAGTGGCTCATTTTGGAGCTGATGATGGAGATGGTACAGGGCTGAGCACGTTGTTCTGTTGTGCATGAGGTTGTCACGCGTTTGGGGCCATTCAACAGCAGCTAACAACAGTCATATGTTCAGAGGGTTTCCCTCGTCACAGGCGACAGGTTGGGATGGGCTTCTGTGGTTCAAGCAAAAGGTGACCACCACCCTCAAAAAGCCACTTCCCTGAGCCTCTGTGCTGTCCTTTCTCAAAACAGGACTCGCAAAAGATTGTTGAGAAACTCAAACACAATGATAACCACAAAACACATTGTGAAAACTGAAAATGAGGACCTGAGAGTTACTTCTTGTGGTTTCCCCCGATTCCTCATCTGTTAAATGCACAGCTCGGCTTTCTGGCCAGCCCTCGCCCCAGCACCACCTGTGCTCCTGGGCTCTGTGCACAGTCACCTCAGTCACACCCTCCCCGGCTGATCAGGGTACCTCACCTACCTGCTCAACTTCACACGTCCTTACACCTTCGCCCTTGTGCTTCCCTCTGCCCCAAATATCTTCTCCCCAAAGACTAATTCCTTCAAGCAGCAGCAAAGACTGATCCCTACCCAGTTCCCAGAACCCAGCATGAGTGCGCACCAGACAACACTCAGCAGCTATGCTGAGTGAAGCAAACACCAAACATAGGGCTGGTCATTGTCACCGAGATGCCCACCTAGAGTCTCCCCTCCGCTTGACCAGTTGGCTTTGCAGCTTGTCTGAAACAGCCCATGATGGCATCAACGCCTTGAGGGGAGTGAGGCCAGAAGGCCCATAGCTGTGCTGAGGAAGGGTCTGGCGTGGATGGGGACCCCCGCTCCCCATGTTCTGATGGTGGTCTCTCTGCTTGTGTTTTGCAGGTCCTCCAGTAAGTATCCTGGACTATACTTCTGCTCCTGAAAGATAAGACATTTTTTTGTTCTTTTTCTAGTAATGATGTGAAAAGAATTTTCAGTTAAAGAAGTGTGTCTTTAAAAGCTCACTCCTGAATAAGGATGGGAAGGAGGTAAATGTTTCCTTTAACAGCCAATGAACGTAAGCACAGATTTCCATGGCTCACTACACCCTTAGAGCGCTCTGTGACTGTTTTCTCTCCAAGAGAGCCGGCACAATGCTGGCCGCTCCTCACTAGGTCTTTGGTCAACTTGTTGCTCTTCTCACGTGCCACCGAGCCTGAGCTGACTCGTAGCTGACTCTCCAGTGGGTTTTCTGAGACTCTAAGTCCCACAGGAGGAGATTGTCCATCCTTGTCCCACAGAACAGCTGATGGATTCCACCGCTTGCATTTGGGCTGGCAGCACAACTCATCACCCCGAGGCCACCAGAGCCCCTGGAATTCCGTGTACTTGGTCAACTAGGTACATGGAAATCCAAACACCTCATCATATTTCTTTTTCAACAGTTCACTGCTTATTGTGCCTAATTGACACATTTGCATTCAAAATTTCTTCCACAAATATAGCCGTAAACACCCTGCATGCTAGATAACACTTCATGAAGTGTTTATCTGTGCCTCTATTTTCAAAATGATCTACCCCTGTTGTGATATTTTTAAAACATTTTGTCTCACATACTTTGGCATTGGGGCTCAGAAGCCCTAGGCGATTATTCAGTAATACAGGCACACCTCAAAGATACTGTGAGTTTGCTTTTAGACCAACAATTAAGCAAATATTGTAAGTCATGGAATTTTGTTTATTTGTTTCTTTCCAGGCACATATAAAAGATATGTTTACGCTATACTTTTGTCTTTTGTGAGGTTGTGGGAATTAGCTACGCAGAACACAGAGGCCAGAAGTGAGCAAGTGCTGTTGGGAAAATGGTGCCAACAGACTTTTTCAAAGCAGGGTATCCACAGGCCTTCAGTTTGTTAGGTTTTTTAAAAACAAAGAAAGGATAATATCTACAAAGCACAATAAAACCAGATATGCCTGTGCACGGGGTTTGATCACTGGAGGCTGGAGTTCATTTTCCTTCTTTGCCAAAAAGGAGGATGTTTTACTCCCTGAATTGGACCACTCAGCCAGCCCTCGAGGGTGAATTCGAGAGATCAGCTGGGCTGCTCGGCTGCCTGAGGCTCCACGAATGTGGGGTCGTCAGCGGCCCTGGAAATCACAGCCATTCCCAGGGGCATGTGATCTGTCTGGTTCTGATTCACTCAGCCATTTTTCAGAGCCAGATAAATCCTGATGAATCAATTCAAGAAGCACAATGACGGCCGGCTGGAGCCAAAATTTACTTTCTGAAGAAATTCCTTTCAGATGAGCAAGTTTCTTTTTCGGACTTCCACTTGACATGATTCATCTCCCGATCTGCACCGTTCGGGACCTGGGCTCCCCACTGCAGGCAAGCCAGAGCGAGCCAAAAAGCAAGCAGACAAGCATTCGGGGATTTACTGGCCACGAGCCGTTCTTTGCTGTTGAGTTCTTTCTGGCTGTTACATCCAAGCTGGTTTGTGTGAGCTTGCCAACTCGCCGAGGGCCAGTGAAGGATTTTTTCCCCTTTTCTAAAAATGTAATGGTTAAAATAGTAAATACATGAGACAGAATCTTCAAGCTGCAACTTGAACAGAGGGATGTGGGGAGTCAGGCTGATGTGCAAGACATTAACATGGTCATTGCCCAGCAGGACTGGCCCACTCGGAGGATAGGGAAGGCCCCATACTGTTCCCTGGCTCCTGAACGCCTGTTCTCATTCCTCGCATGCCCATGGCAGTTGGGGAGGAACCCACTATCACGCTTGTGCCCCTCAGTAGCCATGATTCAAAGAGCATCCTCAGTTCCTGATTGGGCTGTGGGAGCTGGGATGCCATCCTCTAAATCCAGTCTTCCCTGTGTCCTTGCTATGTGCCCAAAGCATGTGGGCAGGACCCCCTAATGAGGTTTCAAGGCTTGTGGTCCCTGCAGCCTGGCCCGGGGAGGCGGGGAAAGTGTGCTTTCACCCCAAGATCCCTGCAACCCTGGTGTCCCCACCCCTAGTAACCAGGCAGCACCTCTGCTGCGAGCTGCGCAGAGCGCGGGGAGGTCTGGGGCTCTGGTTGAGTTCTAAGTGTTGCCATATGGTTTTCTGCTGAAAGTCTGATTATTAATGACGTATTAATTACCACAGGGGCAATCAGGACGAGATGGCTACCCGGTAATTTGCCATTTATTTTTTGCTCTCTTTGCCTTTCTTCAGCCTTCTCTGTGCTCCTCTTCCCCCTCCTCTGCTCTTGCGTAGAAATGGCCTCTCTGTGGAAGGATTAGCATGTCCTCCATGGAGGGCACTTGGTGCATGGGCAGAGCCCGGGCCAGCTGAGCACTGCTGAGGTCCCACAGCCCTGAAGGCAAAGACAAGAGAGTCCACAACCGGGCCACATCCTACCCAGTCCACGGGCCACAGTGACCACCCAGCCCTAAGTGTCCTTCAGGACAGCCATTCTAGCAGGAGGAATGTTCTCGGTCCCAGTCCTCTGTGCTATGTCACCCCTCAGAAAGGCAGAACTCAGTGCAGCCTCTCCCACATCATCACACCTTAAATCTTTTGCGACCTGACCAAGAAGTGAGTGTATACTTGTAATTAATCTCCCCGGGCCACTGAGCTCCACCAGAGCAAGGTGCATGTGACTGTGCTGCTGTCCTCTCCTCACAGAGGTTAGAGACACAAGGGCAGAGCGTGTGGAAGTGTGGACTCATCAGGACGGTCAATGAGGAAGAGTTTGCAGAACCATCATGGTAGCAGGCCCATTTGTTCCATGATTTCAGCGCCTGGAAGCTCGGGGCTAAGGATGTTGCTTCAGAAACCTGTGTAAAGACTAGCACTATATCGAGTCAGGATGGGGTGACAATAAAGAAAAGGGTCCCAGTGTTGGCAGAATTACCCTCCTACAAGGCCGTCCAGTCCTGAGGACCAGGGAGAGTGGGGCTTGGATTCCAACTTTGCTGCCTCCTCACTGTGTGATCTCGAGGGAAGTACTTACCCTCTCTGAGCTTCAGTTTCCCCCTCTGAGAAATGGGCTGATGAATGCCTCCCTGGAAGAGTTGTAGTTGACATTAAATTAGACTGGGGAATGGGGCAGTAACAGCTATTCATAAAACACAAAGTGTCACAAACTGTCCCCATAGGAGTCAGTGGAAATTTGGGGACATTTGTCTCAGACTCAGAGTGTCCCCATGCAAGACCTAGAGTAGAGGTTGGAGTCAGGCAGTCGGAGCAGCTCCTGGGAAGCAGGAGGCCTGACCATGCAGACCAGAATCATCTAGCCCTGAAGAAGACTGTCAGAGAGTGAGACGAAGAAGGCAAAAAGAAAGAACTAAATGTCAAACTAGCTAGCGCCCCCTTCCACTGACAGCAGCACTCAGAAGTCAGGGTAGCCCATCTTGATGAAGCAGGCGTCATGGGCCCCTTCCTGCCCTCTAGAAGTGCCTCAACAGTGCGAAAACCACAGACTTTCACTGGAATAGTTCAGCCTTGCATCTTGAGACTAGGGACCTTGGGTGGTGGTAGTGGTGGTGGTTGTTGTTGTTGTTATGTACCACTGAGTCGCCTTCAAGCCATAGCAACACTATGTACAATATCTCTAAAGCCTGCCCTGTCCTGAGCCAGTCTCTCTGATTCCAACACTCTTACCCCCATTACCCCAGTTACTGTGTCAGTCCATCTCATTCAGGGTCTTCCTCTCCTGCACTGTCCCTCTACCCTTCCAAGCATTATGTCCTTTTCCAAAGACCAGTCCCTCCTGGCCACGGGCCCAAAGTTTGTGAGATGGAGCTTCAAAATCCTAGCCTCCAAAGAGAAACTTGGTTTCACCCTCTCCAAAACATTTGTTTGTTTTCTTGGCAGTCCATGTTATTCTTCTTCAGCACATGACTCAAAGGCATCTATTCTTTTATCATCCTTAGTTGTTTTCATGCATAGCAAGTGCAACCATGATGTGCTTGACTACTCACTGAAAAGCCAGTGGTTCAAATTCATCTAAAGATGCCTCAGGTGAAAGATCTGGCAATCTACTTCTCAAACAGCAGCGACCGGAAGCCCTGCAATGCATAGCTCTGCTCTGACACACTTGAGAGTGTCATGAGTCATAGTCAGCTGAACAGCACCTGGTGGTTTCAATATCATTATTATCATTAACATCGCCTTCATCACCATCACCCTCTTCACCAGCTCAGAAGGACTAGGAACTTCAAATGAAATCATTCCTGGGATTGTCTCGTTAAATCACTCAGAGTAACTCTCTCCATTATGTTCCTGTGACCTAAGGGGAGTGGATGGCATAGGCTGGGCTTCTTCTCTCTCCCATAACACTAACGTAAGTCAGGGGGCCTCCTGCCCACCACCAAGCTCACTAGTGCTTGGAATCCGGTGTTTCCTCTAAGCAAACAAAGGGTGGCCTGGGAGTCCCTTCCCTCTGGCTACACTCTCGGAAGGCAGATGCAGAAGGACCTTTCTCCCAGGCGATGGGCAGCAGGTTTTGCTCTCAGCTGCTCCAGCCAGCTGCCTGAGATCTACTTCACACCACTCCTCTGCCATTGCCACCATACCTGCCATTCTTCCCAGGACGGAGGGGTTGGCCAGCTGGCCCCATAGTGACAAGCAGAAGTCTGGGGGTGGCATTAGGCAGCCAGGCTGTTGAAGCTGTGGAGCCTTGGGTGATGCACTTAGCTTCCCTGAGCCTTAGTACCCTCATTTGTGAAAAGGGTCTAACAGATTGTATCACTCAGCTTCACTGAGGGTTTCTGTTGGCCATCTTTGCTCCACCAGCCCTGATGTTCTTATCTGGCACTGGTTTTTCCTGACAACAGGTCCAAAGGAAGTGAGTCAGTGTCTGCCCTCGACCCTTGCTGTGAGGAAGCATTCTAGCTGTATTTCTTCTCAGGCTGATTTGTTCATCTTTCTGGCAGACCATGGCATTTTCAGTATTCTTTGCCAAATTCAAATCCATTCATCTTTCTATTTTCCTGTTTCCACTGTCTAAGCTTCTTCATACATGAGCAATTGAAAGGTATGTCACTTGATCACTTGGGTCAGGTGCATCTGTAAGACACTTGATAAAACAAAAAGCTAGGTTTAAGGAGGAAGCAGGAAATTCTGTTCTACTTAATGTAAATTCACAGTATTTGAAATTGGTGACTTTTAAAAAAAGATGGGTTTTTTTTCCCTGCAGCTTAACAATTAAAAAAAAAAGCGCCCACTGCTACAGAGTCTATTTCAATTCCTAGTGACCGTGTCGGACAGAGACTGGAGCTGTTCACAGGACTTCCAAGGCTGTAGTCCTTACAAAAGCAGGCAGCTTTGTCCTTCTTCTGTGGAGCAGATGGTGGATTTGAACCTTCAGCCTTCCACTTAGTATCCGAACACTTAATCCCCTGAGACACCAGGGCATCTTTTCTGCAGTAGTTGTTGTTGTTGTTGTTGTCATGTGCTGTCAAGTTGGAACCAACTCATAGCTGACCCTCCAGCAAGTTGACAAGGGCAGTAAAACCAATGAGAGGAGATTGTCCATCTTTTCTCCAGAGGATGAGCTGGTGGGGTTGAACTGCATGCCTTTGGGTTGGCAGTGAACCTCCTTACCCACCAGGGCTCCTTCAGTCAACTTTAAAAACCAGCCACAGGGAGGATTTCTTTTCCTTTGTGCTAAAAATGTGTCACTTCCTAAGGGCAAATAAGAACAAGAGCAGAATAGAGGCGAAGGTTGCAGTGGAATCTGTCAGCTGTGTTTTCCCGATTAGCTCAGCCTGCCCCTTCCCTGAGTGAAACCAGGTCCTTCTGCAGACCAAATGAGAGTGGGCAGGGGACACGGGGCATAAAAGCCAAGGGCATCTGTGGGGCAGACTGTGGACATGAGCGTCAGCAGGATCACGGTCCTCTTGTCTGCGCTTGCCCCGTGCAAAAATGGTCTGCCCTTCCTGTGCCCCAGGGTTCATTAAGAACACTCATCTGATCACAATAAAATCTAATTTACTGTTAAACATTCAGAAAATAGAGAAGCACATAGAGAAAGGAAAAGCCATTATTCATAATCCTACCACCCACAGATAAATTCCCTCAATATTTTGTATTTGTTCTTCCATGTTTTAATATGCACGTCCACTCTTGTATTTATTGTTGTAAAAAATGGAATTACATAGAACACGCTTTTTTGTAGCCTTTGTTATTTTCCAATTTTATCACGAGGGGGTTTTTTTCCACATCATTAAAAATTCTTATAGAATGTTATTTTAACAGCGACATGGTATTTGACTATTTTTACTTAACTGATCTCCAAATGATATTATTTGTATTTATAGTGTTTTGCCATTATCGTTAGCATCCTGGGAATAAATTTAGGTTTACTTACATAATTATCTCCTTAGAATGAATGTCTCATAGTTGAATTGCTATACCAAAGGGTCTGCACATGTTTCGGGCTTTGATGTCCTCTGCCAAATCACCCTCCAGGAGGCCAGCTAATTTACATTCCCACCAACAGTGTGTGACTGCTACACGTTCCCCCAAGCCCTGGCCAACTGCGGATATTATCATACTTTTTAATCTATGCCAATGCGATAACTTTTAAAACGTATGTCTGTATGTAAGTATGACTGTATCTTGTTTTAATTTAGGGTGTTTTAATTAAAAATATCCTTTTGGAGCACTGCCACCTCGCGGTGATATGTAGAATTGCAGGTATAGAGTTTAAAAAGGGAATGATTGAGATCTGAGACTCTTCAGATCCCTCTTGGCCCAGAGACTGAGAACACCATGAAATCAGGCGCATAAAGGAAAATCTGACCCTCAGAACATTGTTAACCAAAGGTGGGATGTACAAAGGAGACCTGGGCACTGTACTCTTGCATTTTGGAGTGGTGATTATTTTTGTGTTCTGTCAAATCAGAACCAACTCACAGCTAAACCCTCAGCAGGTTTTCAGAAGCAAGTAATCACATAGGAGGAGATTGCTCATCCTTCTCCCAAGGATCAACTGGTGAAATCAAGCCTTGTGGCTTTGGAATTGCAGTGCAACTTCTGGCTACTAGGCCACCTAACAATTTGAGCTCCCTAACAATTTGAGGTAGTAATCACTATTCATTGGGAAATTGCAATGAAAAAATCTGCTCTCAGAGATATCTCCAGAGTGCTGAAAATCCATGTTGTCAGTCTAGAGACAACGGCAC